GTCCATGTTTCATTCGCAGCTGATCAAAAACCACTTACAGCAGAAGAGGGAGGACGCGATAGTCTACGCGCTTGAGAACAGCGCGCTCTTCTTCATATGAGAATGATGCATCATCAACATGAGCGTTGGCCAGAAACTTGGCCGCCGCATCTGCCTTCTCGACTTTCTGTGCAGGCGTAGGATTAGAGTGCTCGATATGTGTTATGGCATCTTCTTTGTGGGCTCCAGAATGCATGGTCGCCATGCTGCCGCAGAACGAAGACTGTAAGACGCTTGGTTGCTCTCCGAATGACTTACCAAGTGACCGGCTCGTCTACTTATCAGACAAAAGCCCATGCTCGGATACCAGAGACCGACTGATTGCGTCTCCCAATCCCGGTCGCATCCAGGTATCGATTGAGCGACGCCCTGGATGGCCATGTGCATTTCGAGCTTCCTGCTTGTGCTAGAAGCCCCTCATAGCTCTGTTGTTCCACGTATCAGGACTTGCGATTCCCTCTTCACTCGCAAAGATACCGGGTTTCCATGAGCTTTAGGCAAGGAGTGAGCTTCCCCGCAGAGCTCACGCGGTAAACTCTATTCCTGGCCATGATCGTCTCTGCTTCACTTTCCCCACGGGGGTGGATGCTGTGGGGCCTCTCTTCTAAACATTGGTTCACCGGTCGGCTATAGTGACGGGAGAATGCAAGATCGACGTCGTAACATGATGTGGTTCAGCGTTCGGGATTGACTGTACCGAATATCGAGGGGTGTGACCGGGGTAGCGATACACCGATGCATCATCATAGAATATTTCCAAAGCTGTTAAGAAACGGCTAGAGAGCGAAGCCTTTGATCGTCTTATTTCTGATTCAACTTCTACTCTTGTATTATTTGTTAGCGAATATGGCTGGGGAAAACAAGCAAAAGAGATATGCGCTGATTGGCACAGGCGGCCGTTCGTCCTTCTTCTACACCGCGATCGCAACAACCTACAAAGAAACCTCGGTTGTCGTAGCGCTATGCGATACGAACCAAACCCGACTTGACTTTGCGAATACACAGCTGGAGTCTCTTGGTCATGTCAAGGTTCCCACCTTCAAAGCGGCGGATTTCGATCGGATGATCCGGGAAACCAAGCCAGATGAAGTCATCGTAACAACAATCGATCGTACACACAACATCTATATCGTCCGCGCGTTAGAACTGGGCTGTAATGTCGTGACAGAGAAGCCTATGACCATCGATGCACCACGGTGTCGCGAGATTTTCAACGCAGTAGAACGAACGGGCAAGAAAGTGCGCGTTACGTTCAACTACCGCTATGCACCACACAACACCAAAGTGTGGGAGCTTCTCCGCTCTGGCGCGATCGGGAAAGTGACGAGCATACATTTCGAATGGATGCTCAACACGTCGCACGGCGCCGACTACTTCCGTCGCTGGCATCGCGACAAGCGCAACAGCGGGGGGCTGCTCGTCCATAAATCAACACATCATTTCGACCTCGTCAACTTCTGGCTAGCTTCGCGTCCGGAAACAGTGTACGCACAGGGCAACCTGAACTTCTACGGGCGAGAAAATGCCGAAAAGAGAGGTGTACAGGAGTTTTACACACGAGCTCATGGCAGCGAAGTGGCAAAGAGCGATCCATTTGCACTTCACCTTGAAAACAATGACAAGTTGAAGAAGATGTACCTCGATGCCGAGCATGAAGACGCATACTATCGCGATCAGAGCGTCTTCGGTGACGGAATAAGTATAGAAGACACAATGAACCTCCTAGTGCGATACGAGAATGGCGCGGTGCTGACCTATTCTCTGACCGCCTACGCACCCTGGGAAGGTTTCCGTGTCTCGTTCAACGGGACTGGCGGCCGTGTAGAGATGGAAGTAGTCGAGAACAGCTACGTGAACAGCGGGGGAGACCAGTCGCTCGAGGGATCACTTGAAACGCGATCAATCACACTCAGGAAGCTTTTCGAGAAGCCGCAAGATATCCAGATTCCGGATTCCGTCGGTGCGCATGGGGGAGGCGATGAGGTGTTGCTAGCTGACTTGTTTGGCGAGCAAGGTGCGGAAATCGATCAGGATATGAGAGCTGCAAGCCATGTCGACGGTGCACTCTCAATTTTGACGGGCATCTGCGGTAACAAGTCGATGGCTACAGGACAAGTTGTGAAAGTCAGTGATGTATTCGTAGTGTAGATGGAAGCTTCATGCCATAGCTTCGCGGCATGCGCAGGTATGCCGTACTGGCCGGCGTGTGATAAAGAGCTCTCAAAAGATACGCGCCACCGCGCAGCAATATGCAGCGATATTCAGCGCCTCCGTCGCTCAACTGTTGGATGTAGTGAGCGAAAAAGTAAAGTGATTTTGCAGGAGTAAGCGTCATTGTGTGGCACCTGGGGGCGAACGCGACTGCCCGCGTCGCAATCGCGCTAACCTCGACGCGCCTCCCCGCCACCTGCACGTGGTTCACGTTCAGGCTGCCTTCACGATCATCGCGCTCGATACCGCGTAATCGTCCCCGGCCAGTTCCCAGATCTCAGATTATCCCTGGAAATGTCACGATCAACATTAGTCGGATTGCATCTTCATGTCAACGTTCAGAGGCATTGTAGCCGGTAATTGTCGCCCCGCCATGCCCGGCTGTCAGTACCCTGACTAACGCGTCACTGCAGAGTTTCCTCAGATCAGAATAGACTACTTCCGACAACAACCTGAACATAAGGCGCCTCTTGCATGTTTCTTGAGTCACGTACATTCTGATCATTTAACTGGTCTGGAGTCGTTGCGGGCCCCATTTGTGTACTGTTCGGCTGCGACCAAAGAGGTAAGCGGCAAATTTGCTGCCATACATGCCATGCAAAAGCTGACATCCCTTGCAGATACTCTTGCGACTAGAAAAGTACCACTATCGCGTCAACTTCGCTAAAGGCATTCTCGAAAGTCGCAATGTCACGTACGATAGAAGCATGCGCAAGTTGGCCAAGGCGCTGCCTCTGGACACACCAACCGTAATCGAGTTAGCGCCGGGCAACAGCATCAGGGTCACTCTTATCGATGCTAACCACTGCGTTGGAGCTGTCATGTTCCTGATTGAGGGTAATGGCAAAGCAGTACTTTATACCGGCGACATTCGAGCAGAGGAATGGTGGGTGAACTCGTTGATACAGAACCCAGTACTTCTGCCATATACACTCGGAAACCGAAAATTGGACTGCATGTATCTGGACACGACCTTTGCCACGAAGAAAAAGCCCTATCGCCAGTTTCCGAGCAAAGCGCAAGGTATACAAGAGCTGCTCAGCAAAGTAAGTGACTACTCCGACGACACTATATTCTACTTCCATTCTTGGACCTTTGGCTATGAGAACGTCTGGATAGCGTTGTCCGCATTTTTGGGTTCTCGAATTCATCTCGACGACTATCGAGCACGCATATATGGCTCCTTGTCCGCATTGGACAAGCGACAACTGCGAGAAGTGGGGCTCGACGTCCCAGCAAGCAATAAAGCCCTCCAAGAATCTGGAATTGAGATCCGTGAGGCTCCTGCTTTATGCGGTTTCAGAAATGGAAATCACATACAACCGGGCTGTTTGACTTCTCAGGAGGACGTCCGCATCCACAGCTGCGAGCGCGGCATGGGCTGTTCCGTCCTAGACCGCGATACGAACGCCAAGATCGTACACATTATCCCGATCGTCACACGCGCCAACGGTGAAGACATTGCCGAGTTGGGTGCAGGAGGTGGAAAGGGTGACTTGGATCAAAAAGAAGAGCTGGAGTCTGGCGGTATGGGCGAAGTCAAGAAGTTGATGGAGCTCTGTGCTGCATCCATAAACGACAAGCAGTTGCTTGAAAAGGTCATCACCTTACTCCAGCAGACTCTCTTGGGAGACGGCAAGCTCGACCTTGGTATGCAGCTACAAAAGCAGTTTGAGGAGACCCAGCACGATCTGTCCCTAAAGACCCTCGTCTCTGTGCTATCGTCGAATGTTTTGGAAGATTCGAAAAGCGGACCGCCACTCAACAGGACCATTAGGTTTCCGTATAGTCGCCATTCTTCTTACTCCGAGCTTTGTGGCCTTGTCAGAGCATTCAGCCCTAAGGATATCGTTCCGTGCACTGTTGACGAGACCCGCTGGACATCTGACCTCAGCATGCGGAATCTGTTTGGCAGTCTCTGTTCAGGTGAACTTTTTTCTCACGACGCAGTCATGATGGAGCTGTACAAAGCCAGAGTGGACTATGAAGGCCGGCAGAAACGAGGTAGAGAAGAGAGCCCGACGAACACGCAAATGACTGGCGATGAGACTGCAAGCCCGCCTGTGACCAAATTGGTCATGGAGGAAGCCTTTGCATTACCTACATCATATCACGCTACTCCAAAAACCCCGACCGCAACAGACACCATCCAGCCATCAACGCTTCCATCCACATCAGAGAATCCTCCGCGAAACAGTCGTCGTAATCAAATGGCTGTCCAGAGTCCAGATCATACAGTAATCGATTCATCTTCAGCTCCCAAGCGAAAGACCAGGGCCTCTAATACTCCCTCCAGGATGGAGCCGCCAGTACCCAGCCCCCACAAGAAGCGACGAATAACGCATCGACAACTCGCGTATGACGCAGCACTTGGAAAAAATGGCCTTTCTTGGAGCGATTTCGGAGGCTTGGTATCAACTAAAAGCAAGAAGATCCAGGATGAGCCGGAGCTATAAGTGGCACTCCGGCTTCGTGGGGGTTGTATACGTGAAGGAGCTTCGTAAGAACGTGCGACGCGTCGATATTAGTCAGTTGCAATTTATTTAACCGGGAACAATGCGGCAATGGCCTTCATATGAGGTGGTATGGGACTGTGCTTCTTTGTACCAACGTCATACACATTCATGAGTGTATTGCTTCCTGTGCAAGTATAAATAGCCACAACTCTACGCTTCTTGGATTTCTCTTCATCTGACTCCTCTTCCAATTGCGTCTTGTTATACATCCTCATCTCATCAGGCTGAGTCCTCTCACTCCAGTAGCTTACCCTGTGCTTGAATGTCCATGTCGCGGCCCAGCCCGGCCTCTCTCATGAAGTCTGTCGCCTGCACCATATCGACCCACCAATACTCACCATATACCTTCAACGGGAAGTCTTCAACCTTCGCACCTCGTCCGACATGCGACGCAACCGCCGCCTGGAGATCACATTCATAACTCCGCATCAAGGTCTGCCTCTCCAATTCCCAATCCCCAAAGTCGTGTAAAGTAGACAACTGAACCCTGTTTTTCCAATGGTGTCGTATGGCCTCAAACCGACCGAGGTCAATCGGCAGTCCAGTAAATTCCGTGAACTTGCGTTCCATAGCGGAAGAGAGAATTTGCCATGCGCGTCCATGGCCGTCTGAGCAGAGGTTTCCTGCACGACTACGGCAGCTTTGACAGGAGTATTGTTGGAAGAATGAATGACAGATTTCGTGTAACAGAGTGCCAAGCATGTCGAAGCTATCTAGAGTTGGTTCTATCGTGATATTGTAGTAATAGTCGCGCCACGCTGCGCCCATCACGTCTGGATACTGAATGTGAAACTCAGTGAGCCAACGGAATTTGGATTTGCGGTAGAACATGTCAGAGCCGAAGAAAAGGACGTTGATCTGCGTCCACAGGTCGCGGATCGAGGGTATGGGAAAGACTTCGTCGAGACTGGCAGGTGACTCAGCTGGTGTGTTGGGGAAAATCAGCGACATGTAGTGTTGTATCCAGGTTTGAATGTTTTTCAAGGCGGTGAGTTGTATGGTATTGAGTGTGTCGATGGGTCGGTCGAAGTATCGTACTGCCGTTCTCGTCAATGTCATCGCTTCGCTCCGGAAACGCGAAGCCATCGTTAAGGGCTCGTAGCATTGATATCCAAATTCGTTTGCGGCACCCTTGAACTTGAGTTTTGGGTGATGGTGAAGACGTAGGACGCAATTGCAGTAGGATTCGTAAAGTCGTGGATCACACTGATCGCAGCGGCACACCGGTTTGGAGTCGTCCGTATCGACGAGTTTGCGAAGTTCTTCGGGAGTATTTGGGCATGGTAATCTCTGCTTCTTCTTGCGTCGAAAGACGTTTCTGAGGCTGGATCCGATATCGACCTCGGTCACTATACGAGCAAAATCTGCTTCCAGACGGCTTGAAGTGTGGATTTCTGGCATCTTGATAATGTTACTGGGCGACCTGCGGTGGAAGTTGATGTGGCGAGTGAGCTCAGGAGGACTTTATAACACCTGCAGCTCCGTTTTGTTAGGGGGTGATTTGATGTGAGAAACTTCGTTGACTGTACTGGCCACGCTGCAGAGCAATGGGGTCGATGATTCACTCAAAAAGATTGTGCTTTTCCCCTCTGATTTGCATCGTGATGTGGGTGATTTATACAAAGATAAACCGTGACACTGCGATGGAATACTAAAGACGAGCCATTCACAGCTCCGATAACTCATCTCATGCCTGTATGAAATCGTGGTTGAATGTGGAGACGACAACTTCGAACGAATCCTGGCGAACCAGCGTTTCCAACTCACCAACACCCGAACGTGGACACCCAAAGTTGCTTGCAAAGCCCAAGCAATGGTTCGTCCAAAAGAACCGTGTCGAATGAAAAGCATTCCGAATTCATGAAAGGCGAGTACATTCCAGAGTTTTAGGTCGGGATATCATTATGCAATGGGTGATACGAGACGCGTATGCCGAAGAACTGTCGTTGTTTTATTTGGCTCTGGCTCGTAATTGCTCATCGACTTCCTGAACACCACCTCCTAACAATGCATCAGTGCCCTACGCCACCTGCTACCCAGTTCATGAATTCAGGGTCGCCTGGATTTGGGAACATTCCCCTATCCTGTGGCGGTTGTCCTTGCGCTTGCTGTTGTTGGACAGGCACACCTTGATTCAGCTGTTGCTGCTGTTCTTGTTGCCGTCTTCTTTCTTCCTCCTGTCTTCTTTGCCTTTGTGTCCTGTAGTAAAGCAGGAAGGCCAAAGCCCCGCTCAGGGCCAAGATGATGAGTGATTCCAGAATGTCCGAATCAATCTCATCGCCATGATAGCCGTCTCCATAGAAGTCGTCGCCGGCGGTATGCGTGTCGTCGTAATCATCAGCTTCGTAATCGTCCCAGCCAGCGAGTTCGGCTTCGAGAAAGGCGTTCAGCCACTCCGAGAGTGTCCATTGTTTCTTGACGACTATAGCCATGTTAGCATCCAGACGTTGAAAAGATGCAAAGGATGATGACTTACCGGGATCTTCCTGGATGGACTTGATGTTGCCGTTTGTAAAGGTGTTCCACCAACTCCGGAACCTAAGCTTGTACAGCGCCAAAACGACAGGTAAATAGGCCTCACGTGGATTCGTCTCCAGAGCCAGATCATAGTGTCTCTTTGCGAGGTGAAAGTCTTGGTCAATGCCGATGCCATTCTCATGCATCCAACCCAGGTTCCACATGGCTTGTGCGCTTCTCATGGTCTCAGCTGCGGCTTGGTAACAAGCTGCAGCTTTTTCAGAATCAGGTTGTGTTCCGAGACCCATCAGGTAATAATCTCCCATCTTGACCATAGCATCGACGTTCTTCTGTTCGGCAGAGCGCGTCCAGTATACCAAAGCCAGGAATGCGTCGCTAGCTAGCGAGGCCTTTTGCTTCAAAAAGGGCACAAGCGAGTTGAATGTAAAACGAGGCTTGACTTGATCAAGGAGATAGGCCACGTTGGCCTGTGCGACCTCGAAGCCTTGCTCAGCTGCCATCATGTAGCTTACGAGTGCGGTCTCTAGGTCACCATTCGCATACGCCTCATTAGCTTCGGGGAAAGACGTAGAGACGAGCTCGGCTTTCTCTGCTACGATCTTGTAATAGGTGGCCGCCAAAGGACAGGACTTGGATCGAGCGATACCGTTGTGCGTCATCTCAGCTAAGTAGTAGAACGCCTCGAGGTGTCCATGCCTAGCGGCAAGTTCAAAGTATTTGGCGGCGACGCCGATGTCCCCCTGATCTAAGAAGAGCGCACCTAGCCGAACTTGTGCGACTGCCAAATCCTGGTCGGCAGCCGCGCCGAATAGCTCAGCAGCCTTTACAGCATCTTGAGGTACACCGAGGCCTTTCAGGTACATGATACCCATAGAGTATTGCGACAGCGCGTCGCCCAAGTCCAAGCCACGTCGGAACCATAACCTCGCAATCTCGAAGCTTTGCGGCATGCCTTCACCGCGCAGAAACATGCGACCAAGGTAGCCGGCGGCCTTCGCGGCCAGCTTCTCGACGGTAGGCGACACGTTTGCATTGGGCTTTCCGTTCTGCGGCCAGTACATGCGCGCAAGCTCCATGAAGCGCTTCTTGGCCGCTGGAAGGTCGCGCTTCAATGTTCGTGCGCCATCGTAGTTCAGCTTGGCAAGATTGAATGTGGCCCTGGCATCGCCCTTCCGGGCCTGGAGATCCATGTATTCGAAAACGTCGTCGAGGGAAGAAAAGGCATCAGACTGAGCGCTGGCGACTTTGGCATTGGGCCCAGAGCTGCTTGTACTTGCGCCTTCGCCATACACGCCACCCTGATCGTCAGCGATGTTGTATGACTCCCGCGGCATAGAGTGGCCGCCAGGTGGCCCAGACCGCATGTATGCAATAGCCTTCTCCGCTGCCGCTTTGTAGAAATGCACAGCCTCCTCGCAGTTACGCGGGGTAGAGATGCCTGCCGAGTGCCTGTACGCAACAGCCATCTCTGACCGCACGTCTCCGCCTTCTGCGCCCAGGGTATAGTATAGCATAGCCTTTGCCTGATCTTGCTTGACTGCTCCACCAATGCCGGTCGCGTACATGAAGCCAACCATGTGCTGTGCCGATGCATTGCCGTTCAGAATCGCGAGCTCGTGGTATCGTCGAAAGGCTTGGGAGTAGTTGCGCGGATGCGTGTAATTGCCGTAGAAGTTCATCTCGGCGAGGGTGAATATGGCGTCGGGATTCTTTTGAGCCGCTGCCTCTTCCAGCAGGGTGACGGCTTGTGATAGAGAATGCCCTAGCTGCTTTGGTTGTGGGTTTGTCGTCAACAGCTCCTGCTGTGGGGGGCCATTCATGAAGAGAAGGAAGAAGACCTCTTTCGCGTAGTACGCGCTGGTGCCCAAGATGCCAGACTTCTTATCAAAGTTCCACCATGGTGCGGCAGCCGGTTTGATCGTGTGTAGAAGCGTCGTGGCCTCATTGAAGGCCAGTACGCCCTGGTGTGGATTCGCGCCTCCTTCTGTGTTCCCCCATCTTGACTTCCAGGCCTCCTTGCTTTGGTCCGAAGAAACGCATAATAATAGTGAGAGAAGGACTGCGGGTCTACAAGTCAGTCAGAAGCTTCCTACGTTGCCTGCGCAGGTGCGTACCGAAGAGAAGCGGCACACGCCGCGGTAGCTGTGGCCTCATTGTGGGTATATGTCGAAATTCAAAGTGATGCGAAGAAAGAAACTCATGGCGTCATCTCGGGAGGGCGGAAGCAAAGGCGCGACTACGTGTAGGCAGTCGTGGTGAGGTTGTTTGGAGAGGCCAGCTTTCCACTATCACGGCCGGGGTGGCAGTTGCGCCCCCGATGCGTGGCTCCCGCAGCCAATGAGCGTTGACGTCACTCATGTCACAGGTTCACGCGCTGCAACGTCGCCTCGGGCTTTCCGCTTCGATCCGTAAACAACTTCCAGATGTCTATTTGCAACTGATATTCAGCGCGCTTGCTTCATACCGTCGTCGCTTGCTCCGCTGTCTTTGCGGACGAAAGCTCTCGGGCAAGGGCAACCGACCTCTTTCTGCATTTGTCATCGGCGGAAGCACTAACATCCTTGCACGCATCGTCATGATTTCTATCTTCAGACGCGTTTCTACGCGAAGTCTCTCTCGTTCATTATCGCTGGATAGCACTCTTCTTATCTTTTGACATTGTACTGGAAGTCGTATGTCATGACAGTTCTGAATACCTCGGCAGAACGCGAGCCCCTGCTCCAGCCTTCGTTATCGCCGCCCTTATCGAATAGGGAGGGCAAAGATGATGAAGAAGCCATTTCAACGTCGAGAGGCGCACTTATAGTTGGCTCCGTCGGCCTTTTGATATTTTTGCAAGGTATGTCTTCCAAAATCTCCGCGCTTCGTCATAACAAAATCCCGTCCTCGATCATGTACAATTCCATCTATGCATGAGAATGGTGGCAAATTAACAGAAGTCATGTTCTATCAAAATTCCACAAACTATGCGAAAAAAACTTGACCTAACCTTCACGACAGCTACAAACATCTCTATCCTTACAACGACCCAATCGTCTATCGCCGCTGATCTAGATGCCTTCGAAACTGCCAGCTGGTTTACTTCATCGTATCTCATCGCCATGTCTTCTCTCGCCCCTTTGATGGGACGGCTATGTCAAGTATTTAGTCCACGGTTATGCATGTTCTTCTCCACTATGTTGATAGCCATTGGATCGGCCATCACGTCCACATCTGTGTCTTTCGAACACTTTATCATCGGCCGCGTCGTGACTGGAGCTGGTGGCGGTGGCATTTTCATCGTTGCTAGCATCATGGCGATCCAGATGACCAGCCCTAAACGAAGAGGCTTGTATATGGGCCTTGCAAACACTGCAATGACAGTCGGTGTCTCACTTGGAGCGGTCATAGCGGGCGCGCTTGAGCCTAGAATTGGATGGGTAAGTGGACACTATCAGATGACGAGATCTAGTGAGTTCAACTGACACAACCATAGAAACCATTGTTTGGCATCCAGGCACCAATAAGCTTTGTGGCCGGATTGGGTCTCCTCTTTTCAATTCCAGCCAGCCATACTTCAAAGAACATCAAGTATGAAAATCTCTCGATCCGCGAAAAGCTAGCCCGCATCGACTACTCCGGAGCTTTGCTCTTGACCACCACCATTGTACTCTTCCTTCTTGGCTTATCTGGTCCAAAGGTTCTTCCAACGCCGATCATTTTATCGGCTCTTGCCCTTCCAGTATTCGTTCTAAACGAGGCCTACGTCGCTGGCGATCCCGTCATTCCAGTCTCCGTTCTACGATCTCGTGGAACCCTGTTGACCTGCCTTGCCACGACTGGCTTCATGATGGCCCGATGGAGTATCCTCTTCTATACGCCCGTATATGCGCTTGCCGTTCGTGGCTGGGCTCCGGCTGTCGCTGGATCAATCCTCATTCCCACCAACGCCGGCTTTGCAACCGGTGGTCTTCTTGCTGGCGTCTTTCATATCAAACGCACGGGCAGCTTCTACCTTCATACCGTCGTTGCGATGGCACTGTTTCCAATCACTATGGCTGTCCTGGCTCTCATTTCTACACCAACAAGTCCGTGGGGTCTATATGTTGCTATGGTGTTCCTCAACGGACTTGTTACTGGCGCGGCAACGAACTACGCACTTGTCCATCTGCTCCATCTTACACTCCCGGAGGTGCACCCGATCGTCATTTCTCTCCTTGCTACGTTTCGCGGCTTTTCAGGCTCTTTCGGTTCGGCTATTGGCGGTGGCTACTTCGTTCGCGTACTGCACAAATCTTTGGATGAAGGTTTTGCGCAGGCTGGGTTGAAGAATCGCGCGGAGCTCACCCGGAGACTACTAGGGAGTCCAGCACTTGTAGGTAAGCTGGAAGGCAAAGACAGAGTCGTTGCCGTCGGGGCATATGCGGATGCACTCAAGGCATTGTTCCTTTGTGCCGTAGGACTCTCCATCATCGTCGTGCTTGTGCAGGCCGGTACAGGTTGGAAAGAGCCGGAAAAGAGTGAGGGTCAAAGAGCGGAAGAGGAGGTGGAAGTCGAAGACGGGATGCCTGCAGGTGCTTGAGCTCAATGTTCAGTACAGCTATTTTTTGTCTTTTTCTGTTGTGCATAGCCAGGTCAACACTCATCATTCTATGGTGCAAGGACCGCCATTGAGCGCCAATAGTCTCTTTTCCATACTCACCTACCCATCACCTTTTACGTCTACTGGACTTCACGATGATCTCTCACCGTGAGATTTCCCGGCGCCCTGTCATTTCTTGCGCAGGTACCCGTCATGCATGCTAGCGTCATAATCGCGATTCTCTCACTGTTTCCATCGTCTTCCATTGTATCACTCGGCTCCTACCCGGTCTCGCTTCGTCTGTTTGTTGTCGTTGGTGCAGGGTCCACTGCCTCGCGCCTGCCTATATAAAATTTCCCACGCTCTCACCTCCACTCCTGCGACCCCACCTCACCAGCGACGACGTGCGGGACCAATTGTACGATCAAGAGACAGTCACCTCATTGTCGACCGCCTGCGACGTATACTCTGCTTATACAAGGTAAGTTCCTCTCACCTCTGGCGTATTCACACGTCGGTCTCCAGGCCCAGTCAGCCTGCTCCGCAAATTTGCAAGTGCGCACACTCAGTTTTGAACGCGTCGCGCGCAGACCGCGAGCTCCAAGCTGCTTCCAGCCTGGATTCTTTGGGCGCTCGACCGACGTCTGTCGCGCTTCACTGCACTGCTGCCGTCTCTGGAGTGCAAAAAGCTAACGAACTGTGTCTAGTTCACCTCTCTCACATCCTCCACAGTCCTCATCATGGCTCGTGGTCCGGCTAACCTGTATTCGACCATGGTATCCAACCCATACCCCAAGGCCAAGGAGCATGTTGCTCGTATCTCCGTTTGCGAGCTCTGCGACCGCGAGATCCTCACAAAGGATTGGAACGGACACAAGAACTCCAAGAAGCACCGGGAGGCCGAAGCCAAAGAGCGCGAAGAGTTAGAGAAGGCCAAGAACCCGGCTGGTACTTTCGGCGGTGACGCTACAAGCTTCGGTGGTGGCAACGAGTTCAGCGGCACCAACGAGTTTGCTGACGCCAACGAGTTCGGCTCTGGTGGTGACACCTTCGGCGGCGCTACGACTACTGCCAATGACGGCTGGGGCTCTGCGGGCGGTTTCTCTACTGCAAACACTACCAGCTACAACAACAACAACGGCGGCGGCGGTGGCGGCGATCGGGCCTGCTTTGGCTGTGGTCAGACTGGCCATCAAAAGCGTGACTGCCCCTCTGGTGGAGGCGGCGGTGGCGGCGACCGTGCCTGCTTCGGCTGTGGTATGACGGGTCACCAGAAGCGCGATTGTCCGCAGGGCTCTGGTGGTCAAGCCTGCTTCAACTGCGGCGAGACTGGGTAAGTCGAACTCTTGTCGATCATTTTGGAGTGTCAAGCTAACATTTAACAGACATCGCAAGACGGAGTGCACTCAGCCTCGCAAGCCCATGGCTGGTGGTCCTGGTCGCGCATGCCACAACTGCGGAGATGAGGGTCATATGTCGCGCGAGTGCGACAAGCCTCGTGTCATGAAGTGCCGTAACTGCGACGAGGAGGGTCATGCTTCTCGCGAGTGCCCCAAGCCTCGTGACTGGTCCCGCGTGAAGTGCCGCAACTGCAACAACTTCGGTCATGGCGAGAAGCGTTGCCCTGAGCCTCCTGCTGAGGCTGCCGGCGGTGACTGGGGCGATGCCGGTGGCTCGACCGCTGCGGCTGGCGGTTGGGGTGATACTCCGGTTGAGTCGAGCGGCAACTGGGCTGACGACACCACCGCAGCTGCCGATGCCAATACTTCTTCTGGCTGGTAGACCGAGTGAGCGAGCGTCTTTCCATTCGCCTGTTGGCACAATGAAATCTCAGCATTGCCCAACATACACGATTCTTGTAAGGACGACTGACGGATTCGGACCTCGATCGAGCCAATGGCTATCGGTAGGGAAGGCTACGAGTCTGATTTGAGCTCATGAACGATGGAGAAGTTCTGTTAGGGTAGTGGAGAGGCAGCTCACGGGTATGCACTTGCAGTTACGTTCCAAGCGAAGCGCGACCATGTACAGCAAGGTACTCTACATAGACCAAACAAACACTAACCCTTGTACGCATATTCACCTGCGCCCCATGCTAACACATAACGGTATGCTACGTGACACTTGCTGCTTTTAGCTCTGCTGTATCTGCGTTCTACTCTCGTCTACCGACCAAACTACCTTGCTCAGTACATCGCGTGCCAGCCATGGAGACGACTTTCAGTCACAGATGATGACCACCCATTTGTCTTTGTCAAATAAGTAACAAAGGCGGCGGCCACGGTCGAAGGATACATAGTGATTGCCACAGATGTTTGTCAGACTTCTCATTCGTGGGACAACATTTGAATGGATATAGATATTGCGTAGGTGAATTCCCAGCGGAGTGAAGGGTACGGCTGATAGGGATGACTGGGCTTGTCGTTCCTTATTAGTACCCTTGGCAAGATTACATGTCTCTGCCCAGGGCCATGAAAAGGGCTTGGACGTTTGATTTAATTTACAGAAAGTACATACTTGAGGGGTGCATGGTAGACCCTTCACTCAACTCTGACGGCTTCCAGATATCCCGGTCTTCTTCGTCCGAGCACGCCCAAAAAGAAGGCCGAAACCCTATTGCAGCTCGCAAACACTTCATTAGTTAGACTATTGGGAAGCAAAACGAGTGGAGCGACCTAGGAGAACATACACTACACGATGTCTGTTCTGCATCGTGACATAGCCAAGGTGGAGTCGGAACGACAGCCATAACATGTGAAGGAACTTAGCGGAAACCAACGATGACGAAGGCTGCCACTACGGGATGACATGGCTGCTGCGCATTATGAGGGTCCAGAGATAAGAGCGCGTCCCGAAGGTTTCCAAGATTCCAAGGTTCTCTCTGTATCAGCCCTGGATGATAAGCCCGGGGCGTGCGGCATCCGGTCCTTTTCCCAACCCGAGATCCAAGCCTCTTGGAATCTCCGGACCTCGTCGCCGTAAGCTTACGCGCATAGCCTCGTTCAGATGCCACCATGGTATTTGGAAACCAGAGCCTTCACAGTGGTCGTTTTGGAGGCGCAAACATGTGGCTGAAGCGACTTCTGCATCTCATGAAGCAGCGGTCAAAACTCTCCAGCCGATCAAGACTTCTAGAGCCCAACGGTGTCTAGTAGTAGGGCTGTAGCGCAACGTCTCCGCACCATAGCGCGTGGAAGGCTCGCTACGGGGTGCTTGCTCGGCGCTACGGAGTTGTCTCCAGCTTCCCCTCGTCGGAACCGTTGAAGTAAGCTTTAGCGGTGACTCGTCCACTGATGCGCTAGCCCTTGACATATTGCCCTACGATCCGATAGATCGAGGATATACCGTGTTGTGATTGATTGACGTTGAGTGAGAAGTCTTGCCACGGCGTAATACGCAAATTAGTTTGAACACTTGATCAGAGCTCGCTTCGTGAACCTATATCTCGTGAGACCACTCCCCATGTCTCAACGGACACCTTGGCAGCGTTGATGCAATCTTCTACCTTTGCGATATTATTTGCTTTTGCGCAGATCTCCATCGCTGGTGTGGCTGCGCAGCCAATGTCTCCGCTTTTCCTTGTTACTCGGGACGAAAGCCACAAACATGTCAACCTGGACGAGCTGCCACCGCATCGCGTTGCAGTGATTATCATATGCATCCTATTTGCATTTGTTCTCGCGTTGGCCCAGGGTAAGTGCATTCGAATTTTATGTTGACCGTTTCGTATCTAGAGGTCGTTCAATATGTTTGCTAACTGTTTGGTAGGATATCGAGCAGGCCGCATGGCTGGCCAGAAGTCCAAAACTCGGGTGTCGGATGTACTCGTATTCGCGCAAGGCTTCATCTGCTCGGCATTCCTGTTTGCCACAGCCATACAGATAGCTGGACTGGGTCTACAAACGGATGCTCAATGTCATGCTGCCATACGAGTCTGTATCGCCATGTATAGCGCGGACAAGATAGCACTGTAAGTGTTTACTCGTACGTGACGCTCACCCAAGGCCCGGATGCTGAACCACATACAGATATCTGTTCCTGCTGGAGCGCGTTCATATCGTACGAGCTCCCTTTGTGGATCGCACAAGGGATATGTTGTATGTCTTCGGAGGGATCTTCGTCACGGGTGGTTTCCTCGCGATCATGGGATGGCAGTTTGTCAACCCAATGGCTATCCTGAACCACCAGACAGGCGAATGCAGGATAGGCATCGAGCGACCGGCTACGATTGCGATCATTGTGCTGGACATCCTGATGAACACTGTTCTCACGGGAATCTTCGTCTGGCAGCTTCGACCAGCACTGGGCTCCTCGGCACCTAGGATATTCAGTTTCGCAAGCGACACTGCTGGTACATCAAGCGGCTCTTCAATGCAGAGAATCCGACTTTGGATGAAAGGGACACGACGGGCCGTCTCTTCCCGGAACAACTTGCGAGTTATGCTGGTTCGAAATGTTGTTGGCTCGGGCTTCATGTTGTTTGTCACTTTGTGCAACAATAGCCTGTTTCTCGCCTGGAGTTTCGCGAAGATGAGCCACGCTTGTCTGCTCATGTGCCTCGCTGATAGTAAGTTCACGATTCGCCCTTGTGGTCAACAAACGCTGATACATAGTCAAGTCTGTCTCGGTATGCTTGTCACCCAATGGCTCACGATGCGTTCGGCTGATCCGGAGACATCGCTACCGGCATCTCGAGCTTCTCTCGTAGACGAACGTACCGATTCCGAGGTTTCCTTTGTGAACGAGAAGCCTGTGCCTATCAGCCGCGTGCTAGATAAGGTGCGCTTCAATCTCCGTTGAAGGCGGCGATGCTGTCAAGAAGTTGTATTTTGCGACACGTGTCTTAGCAATCTCGACCTACAAAAGGACCCGAAGGATCCGTTTGCGTTGTACTTCATGGACTCCTCATCGCCCTTCCTCGGTCTTTTACATACCGACTTACACGCGATTGGCTGCGATCGCCTTCATCCTATACCGCTGTCTAGCACCTTCCTGCGTAACTGATACGACGCCTTCATCGATTAGCGAGTGCCGTCAAAAAGGAGTGCTTTGGGCGGCAATGAGTTTCGTACGCCACATTCCGTTTGGTGCGGCCAATGGCTGCGCGGCGTTGCATCGCTGCGGTTGTGCATATACCCCGATTGTCAGCGGAAGTGACCGCGAAGCGCCGTGGGAACGTTCATGGACCATCTTTGGAGTAGGTCGATTTGAAACGCGACCGTACCGCGAGCTCATGACGTCAGTCAGATAAATCAGGGTCTTACCCAATGAAGGCTAGCGTTAGGCTAGCGCAAATCTTGGAAAGAATTGCCCACCTGGGCAGGTATGCACAACCTCCGCACATGCATTGCGAGTACAGCCCTCCATACCACATGGTTCGACAGAAGCTTATCTTACACTGTGTCAGGAGTCATAACATTAACGGCCGAGTTTCAGTGCCTTCAGCTAGATCACCTTGTTCGTTTGAGGATACGACAACTGAAAGTATCAAATTCCACTACGACATCCCACTCTTTCCATTCTGACCTTGTTATCGTCTATATTCCGGGCGTCTCATACTACATGAAAGTGCTCTCCGCTTACTTCAGAGGTGGATCGAAGAACCACATTCCCTTCCGTTCCACCACTTTCTCGTCCCTCTCCACATGCTCGTGGTATCTCTCGCATACCTTTCCCCGCAAGCCGAGCAAGTATCGCCTTACATCTGAACTTCCGCCAAATGGCTCAACGACGTCCTCCTTCCCAACACTCTCCATCCTGAAGCCCTTCGCAAGGTTGACCTTCCACTCGGCCATGTCCTCCGTCTCACCGCAGTTCAGCATGATGTCTTGCATCATGGTCCTCAAAGCAGAGTCCCTCAGATGCTCCTCGATGTAGTTCATGATGTCGTAGGGCAGTGGCTGTGCGTCGCGCGAAAGCTTGTTGAAGAACACATCCACAATCTTGTTGCGCAGGAGCGGGATATCGAAGGTGTCGGCAGATATGTGGAGTTCGCATAAGAAGAGGTATCTCACATTGATGTCATTGCTGGAGTCTAGGCTGCCGCTGTAAAGCCAGTTGGCGAAGGCGTCGAATCGCTTTGGCGCAGAGCACGCGAGGTGGATCGCTGTGCGCTCCTCGTCGGAGGAGGCGGGAAGGATCTCATGGAAGTGTCGCGAGCGCGCTCTGAGTGCTTCGACATGTAGGTCATACTGCTGGATATTGCTGCCGGCGCCAACTTTGATCGTGACTGTGTCGTGCTTGTTGGTGATGATAGGCGCGGTCCACGGGTGTGCGCACCGTGCTAGTGGGCGGCTCATCGTACCAGTGTTGGAGTTGCTCTCGTTGACGGAAGTGGAGATGTTGTCGTTCTCGTTGACGGAAGTGGAGATGTTGTCGATAAAGTTCTCACGAGATGTCAAGACCGTTTACGTACAGGGCTCTTTCCAGCCAGCATACCCCACTAGCCGAAAAGTCGAAGCGAAGGTGAAGGTGAAGACGGGTTCGGGCTATCACAATTACTTCCGACAGCAGGCAACAAGACCGCTAGATAGCTACCTGGGTAAACAAGCTTTCAACTATGTCATGAGGAGATCAACGTAACAAGAGTCGAAATGTGTACTGATTTTTTGAATTGTCATCATCATGTTGTTGTCTCATGGGAGGCAAAGTTCAAGATCGCAAGGGAACCATAGATCAGATCAAAACGAACCCGATGGTTTCGAATAGAATTCATGAGGGTTTGGGTTGTATCTTTGCTATGTACGGGAGCTATCGCAACTAGTGCTTCCAAGATCTGAGCAGAGACGATGTGTGACGAGTAGGACCACGGTACGTAGATTGATTCTGGAAAAGGACACCTCTTTCAGATCTGTAGTAGCCACCTGAGGTTGGCTTACAATATATGCCGCAAACACCTCATATGACCTGAGCGACAAGCCGGCACTGTTCCGATCCTACACTTGTAGTCTAACTATCCAATGAATTAGCCACTGATACTGCCACTGAAAAGCCATGAAAGACAGAAACTTACAATTTTCCGTTTCCTCGAGAACCCTCTATCTCTTCGTGAGTATGATATGTTTTGCAGAAACTTGTGCGCCAATCCGTGCACCAAGTGTCGTTGGCGATATTTGACAAACCCGGCACCCATCCCTTCTTCCGACACGCCAGAATGACATCAAGTAAGAATTCCTTCGCGCAATTTTCAAACCCAGTCGGTTTCAAGCTTTCGAACGACAAGCACACGGCCGCTATATGTACTAAGAACTTTCTCATAGCGTCCTGCTCACATGTGTTGGTATACAGGCTTTCTGTGACACAGGTTGACATGGTATCGCTTTTTTCGGAGTAGAGGTACAGAGAATCGAAGAGAGCGTTCTTGAAGACTTGCGCCTGATGAAAGTCGGCGAATATGTAGGCATCAATAGCGTTCTTCCAAATTCGACTTGCTGCGGTTGATGCGTCACCGTTGGTGAAGTCCACAATTCCAGAGTTGAGCCAATAGTAGAAGACGTGGAAGGTTGAGGCGTCGACATCCCTGAGACGAAGATAGGTCGAGCCGCCTTCCCGGAACGATCCATTCAGCATGCGATCGAAATAGCTTGAGAAGTGACACAGTAGTCCCCGATAGATCTTGAACTTTTTCTTGGCGTCATCGGGTCCGACCGCGACGGTAATGATGGTGTCGTAGACGTGGCTGTGACTGTTAGTAAGGGTTTAAGGGTTTGCCTGTTTCGGACTCACGCAGGTGGTTTTGTGGGTGGGTGGGCACAAGGGATCGGCTCCAACATCCATGCATCGTCGTCGGTGGACGGTACTGGTGTCGCCATGTCGTGAGATGGAGTGGGGGACAAGGGACGTTGTTAAAGCACTGGTGACGCGATTGGCAATGGAGAGGAAATTCCAAGTGCCCGTGCAAGGACCAATTGTCTTGGCGGTCTATCGGCAAGTGAAAGTGAAAGTGAAAGCGGGTGCGGGTGCGGGTGCGAGAATGCGAAACCCAACCGACAATTTGACTTTAAGGACAAGATATACGCCTGATAGATGCCGGAGGAATTCAGTACTTAGATGCCGCCGTTTGGTAGCATTGGTAGATCTTGTCCGTTCTCTCGACTACCTTCTCTTTGAGCATACCAGCAACGTATCTCAACGTAACGTGCTAGACACTGTTGTCGCCCGTACGTAACAATTGACTGGAAACACGAGCAGAGCGAACAGCAAGACTAAACATCGAGCAACCATATTGACACACAATTGAACATAGACAAGGTTTTGAATCCGAGTCGACTTTGTATTACAAGAACGAGTTGGCCAGGTTCTCGAAGTATTTCCTAGCGCCGTCTAGGTCGACGTTGACAGTGGCCTTTGACCGTTCTTTCTCAGTGAGTGTCTTTCCCATAGAAACCTGAAGCGCTTCTATAGTGGACTCCTCATTTGGCTGGTTCACGATCTGAAGATTCATGCTGCCACTCTCAACCTCTTTGCCGCCAACCACAATGATGTGATTGTACTTCTTTGTTCTTGCCTCGGCGATCTTCTTCCCGAGCGAGCGGTCGCTTGTATCGACATCGATGGGCAGGTGTATAGTCGATAACGGTAAGGGCTTGGGTGACGATGCGGACATGGCTGGTGCGTCGGAGGGTGTGAGACCGGAAAGGACAGACTGAATTCGCGAGACATGTTCGAGGACTTTAGGGTCTGAATTCAACGATAGGACGATAGCTGGTCGAGGCGAAAGCCAGAACGGGTATTTGCCGGCGTAGTGTTCGATCAGTAGAGCCATGAAGCGTTCGATGGAACCGTAGATGGCACGATGTACGATGACTGGTCGGCGAAGGGCCGGATCCAGACCTGCGTCCATAGACGACTGCGGCCCTGCCTCTAATTCTTCTGGCGATGCTTGGTATTGCAGATCGAAGCGCTGTGGCAGCTGGAAGTCGAGCTGTATGGTTGCCGTCTGATGCTCCTTGCCATTCGAGTCTTTCAAGATGATGTCAATCTTCGGACCGTAAAAGGCTCCGTCGCCCTCATTGATTGCCCATTCGCTCCCGATGTTGTTCAACGCGGTAGTCAACTGCTCTTCGGCACGTTCCCACTCCTCAATGGTGCCGATGAAGCTGTCCTTGGGCCGAGTAGAGAGAAGCAGCTTGTAGGGTCCCAGTCCAAACGTGTTGTATACCATGCCCACGAATTTGAGCGTCTGCTCAATCTCCGCCAGGATCTGGTCTGGCCGACAGAAGATGTGCGCGTCGTCCTGGTGGAACCGCCTGACTCTGGTCAGTCCTGTCAAGGCGCCTGAGATCTCGTTCCGGTGCAGAGCGCTGAAGTCGGCGAGCCTGACTGGGAGATCTCTGTAACTCTTGATCTCGTCCCTGAACAGCAAACAGTGACCCGGGCAGTTCATTGGCTTCAGACCAAACTCCCCATCCTCTCCACCTTCTGCCTCAGGTATTTGCGCCGTTGTCCCTCTTCCCTGTACACTGAACATATCCTCTGCATAGTTCTCCCAGTGCCCAGACTTCTCCCATAGCGACTTCTTGTATATTATGGGCGTGATGACCTCTTGGAAGCCAAATTGCGGATATTGCGCACGCAGGAACGACTGCAACTTTTGGAAGACGTAGGCACCGTTGGGGAGAATGAGCGGTGAGCCGGGGCTATATGGAGATGTGATGAAGAGATTGTGTGTTTGCGCGAGGGCTCGATGGTCGAGAGGAGGTGTAGGCGGGGTGCCGGCTGTAGGGTTCAATTGCGCACTGGCGGGTGCTTCAGACGAGACAGTCACCGTGTGCTGCAACTGGTGGGGCGCAGAGCAAGAGCAGCTGCGCGCGAAAAGACGTCCATGTTGGCGCCACCTCGATGGTTCTAATTGCGCCCGTCTTGCAGTCCGTAGCGCGAGGGAGAGCTGGCGTAGTGACATCGGAAAGTCTTGACTCCTGCACCAACTTCGCGTGGTGTTCAGGATGCACTTTCTGGACTAGTCGTCTTGGCGCACGCGAGCTCGAACATGACGTCGACGCGTCTGTACGCCAACACCACTTAAACCCCAAACGCGGTCAGGTACTACAGGTACAGTGCTAGGGCCATCGCTCTGGAACTCCACTAACAACGAAAGTTCTTGATGTCTCTGCGACGCACTAAGACACAGTATGCGCCAGAAGCCTGATTGGCAGGCCCCACGTCACACGTAGGAAGTGGCAACCTGTTCTACCCAGCCTCCTACAACGACACAAAGGCAGTCAGTGAGACAGTTTGGGTCATCACTAGACACACCACTGCCTAAATCTATAACTTGCCCCTGCTCTGTATTGCATTCTTACCTTGACCCACCCAACCGTCAGCCCTACGTCACAGATCCTAGATACCATCAACTTGGAATATGAGCGCACGTTCACGGCGACTCGAACACAGCTTGGGAAGTAGCTGGGGCGACGCTGACTACGCATCCGGTGACGAAGGCTCCATTCACTCGGCCAGCGACGAAGCCAGCGAGTTGGAACTAGAGGACTCTGACAAAGAAACTGTACTAGAACCACGGACGACCGTGACACCCAGGCCTAAGCGCAAGCATCTCAGCAAGTCAACACCTACGGCGCAAACGCAGGATCGACCCATAAGGAAGCCAGCAAGTCGGACCAAAGCCAGCCAGTCGCAAAAGATAGGACCCGATAGAACACCGAAACAAGACGCATCCGAGCCGAGCTTCATCATGCCTTCCATGAGTAACTCGCCAAGTGGTTACAGCGGCTCGCCAGGTCCAAAATCTCAGCCGCGGAACCGAGTAAGAAATACCCAGAACCGCCCATCAGACTCGCCCCTTGCACCAGGCAGCTCTTTCACGAAAGGGTCCGTCAGCGGGTATCCGCAAGCGCCACAACAGAACCAGGAAGAAGTCAGCCCATGGCACTACGTGAATCTCTTTTGGGATAACGTCGCCGCACCACTCCTCGCCCACTTCCTCGACATCTTCTCCTACGCGATGCGACACTTTATCAAGCCGTTCTTAGGGGTCGCCCTCGGTGTTGGTATCCTAGTCTTCGGCATCCAGCTGGCATCCGGGATACTACGATCCACAGTATCGAACGCTGTAATGGGGCCTGTTTGCGCGATACCAGGCTTTTCCTACCTCATCCCCGCATGCGCTACGCTAGACGCGTCAGAACCTCAGGCCGACTTTGAGGAACTCATCAATGTTCAAAGTCGATTCGAGGATATCCTGGACGCATCGAAAGATACTTCTGCTCTGCCCGCCACGATCAAGAACTCCGAGCTTGCTATTCGCGACTTGCGTATTCTTGTCAAGCACTCTCGTCTTCCGAGCCGCAAGACCTTGGATAATGAATTCGAGTACTTTGTACAAACAGCTAACGAGGCTTCCGTTGATCTGTCTCGTTACAACAGTCGCATAGGGGCAGCTATGGACCGTGTAATTGCGACAAACACCTGGACCATGAACGTGTTGTCTGGTATCTCGGAGAAAGAGGCTTCCATTGGCGCCGTTGGCCGAGTTATCAACCAGGTCACGGGTGCGTTCGTCGCGCCACCGCCAACGCTCCAACAACGCATCTTCGACCAGTACGTCTCACACGTCAGCAAGAACAAAGACGAGATTACGCGTCTTATCGAAACAGCTCAAGCTCTGCTTCTTGTTCTGCACAACCTTGATGAGCGACTAGGCACCATCTACGAAATTGCAACAGGCGATGACCAGACGATAACAGGCAGACAAGAGGAGCTTCTTTCAAGCCTTTGGACGAAGCTCGGCGGTAACCGCGGGGATGTAAAAGCCAACACCAAGTCACTTACTCTACTTGCCAACATCGGAGCCTATCGCAAGAGAGCGGTCAATCATGTATCTGGCACACTTCTGAAGCTGCAAGAGATCCAGGCCGAGTTGGAGAATTTGCGTGAGGGAGTTGCGGCGCCAGAGATGTTGGGGTACAGAAGTGATCTACCTTTGGAGTACCATATCGATGCTATCGGGAAGGGTGTGGATAGGCTGCAGGTCAGTCGTGGAGAGCACATGAGGGTTGAGGGGGACACGTATAAGAGGCTTATGCGTGGCGGCGAAGAAGGCAAGGGTAGAAGGGAGCTGCCTGGACCGACAGTCACCGTGAGGGCGAAGTAGTGAGATCGTCTCGACACCGGCAGATTTGGAGAAACTTGGATCAGTACTTGGATATTTTTTGACGGCGTTCACAAGATTGTCTTTACTTTCCTTTTGGGTTCATTCTTCTACTACTTGGTACATCCCTAGATACCCATCTCATCCATAACTCACGACCGCAATGAACCATTATTTTTACAAAGTTCAATACATCTGCACCTCAACCAAACATCTCCTTACACCTCCATCACTCCCGTCGCCCAATCCTTCAAATTCCATCTCGTACGCTACACATCCCCTCTGCGCACAGGCTTCCCTAAAGCCATCCACGCTACCTCCAACACCAAAGTACACTCTCTTCGCCGCTACCATCGTCTTGCCCGTCTTCACCCGTCCCATCAGCGCGACAATCGCATCCGTAAACGCCGTTAGCGAAGCCGGCGAGTAGATAGTCTCTGAACCCAGGATGAACGTATTCAGATCCGGAGACGACGGAACCATCTCCAGAAGCTTCTCAACCGGCGTCCAAGACCCCGAGATAAACGTCATCGTGATCCCAGTTTCACCCATCGCCTTCTTGAAAGCTGCTAGGATCTCAGGAGTAAGATATAACTCGCTACTCTCTTCCGATTCCAAGAGCGGATTCCCCGCCTCAGGGAACAGCGCTGCATTCTCCTCAGCACTTAGCGTACCCACCCATGTTAGAAGTAGATTAGGTAGAGTAACAAGCCGTAGGACGTCGGCGTTGTAATCCGTGAGGGTGAAGTAGATCCCAAGTTGATTCTTGACCGCGTATTGGAATAGGAGAAGCGAAGGCAGCGCAGACCCGCAACCCATCTCAATAACATGACCGACGCGCATGAGGTCATCGAGATCTTTCCGCGGTCCACGATCGAGCAGGTAGCGGACGAGATCGAGACTGCATTCCCAGGTCTTGTAGCCGCCTTCGTAGACGTTTTGGCGGAGGTCGGAGTCCTTTTGGTGAGTGTCAGTTTTGTGGATGGAAGGAGGGGATAGGGAGGCATTACATCCAGACCTGTCAGAGGTGTTTGGGAAGATCCATCGTCTTCAGCCATGAGTTGAAGGCGCACATCGAAGAGTTCGCGGCGGGGCAGACGGGTTGTGAAACCTTTGGGGCTGGTTATGTTGATAGTTGAGTAGGAGAGTTTGTCTGGGAGGCTGGCTAGCTGAAATCATTGTCAGTATCGCTCACAGGCATGTCGTCATCGTCTCTATGAGAGAGAAATTGTCAGAGAGGGTAGCGAGTTGCGACATTGTCCCATGTCTGTCTGTAAAAAATTCAGAAGCGCTTACCTACCAGCTCATCGAGATCATGTGTTTTGGCCGCAATAGGTGGTGGAACACTGCTATCTGTCGTTGTTTGCTGTTGCCCTTGCTCTTGCACATCATTGGGGTCTTCTTCTATGTCGTCGCCTGAAAAGCCGAAGCTGAATGCCATGATGGAATGCTGAACTGAGGTTGGATCGGGTTAGGCTGATATGCAAGATGTTAGTTTGGTGGTTGGTGGGGCTTCTTTCATGTGAAAGATAATTTTGGGTCTTATCGATAAGCGCATGGTGTGTGCACAGGTGAATGTCTACTACATGGATGCGCTTTGATCTTAGTTTGTCGCAAGTCTTAGGTGGATTAATCATCACTTTGATTTGAGGATAGCGAAGAAATGCACTTTACTTCTGACCGGAGAGTCTCCCCACGCGACTTATGCGGAAAGTCAAAGGGTGTCTTGCTGCTTCCTAGCAATATGACGCGTATACGCCTGGTACGCATGTTCCAGTATCCCAGCCCATTCTCATCCCGTGTATACCGTGTTGAACGCATGCGTTCTTACTCTTTCTTCACCTCAACACCATTACTGCTCTCTTCTTTCTCCGCCTGTCGCTCCTCGGCCAGCGTTCGCTCCATCTGCCTAGCGCACGCCTCCATCGTGTCCTTGTCCAACTCCCATCCCGTTGTGTCGATCCCCTTCGCCTTGGCGTCGGCGATGATCTGCTGTCGCTCCACAATCTTCTCGCGCATGAGCTTGATGGCACCCCCGAGCACAACTGCCTCGCTGCGGCCTTGTCCCTCCAAGCCGGGTACTATTGAGGCAAGTCGGTCGAAGCCTTCTCTAATCGCTTCGCGTCGCTTCTGCTCAGAACGGATGTGGTTCTCTTTCTTTTGGGCTTCGGTAAGGCGGGGCCGGTCGGCGGCGTTCGTGGGACTTTGCGACTCCGGCATGATGGCGTGGAGGCGGTGGTACGAGTGTATCGTCTGACGCGAATGGCCAGTGTGTTCGGGTAGGTAGAGTAGATTTCAGCTGGCACGAACCGGTTCGCTGGATGTGGCTACTTGGGATATATTCTTGCGTTATGCTGTATGTTCGGTCAAGGAGACCAAGGCGACGTTCTGAGGCACAGGCTGTGGTACGCGACTGCTATAGTGTTGTAGGGGACAGCAGGCGCTCACCTGGGCATAGTTCCTGCCCTTCATGTGAATGGGCCGACGGGTGCCGAGCTTGGAGGCATACACCACTCAACGCGGGCTATACCAGCAAGCCGGTGCTACAATGTGCGATGGGCATCCGTGTGTGTGGTAGGAGGTGCGATGGTAGAGGCGCGCTATCGATACGCGTGGGTGAAGCGGAAGCTCTCCATAGCTAGCACGTGCTTGGTACCATGGCGACAAGATGCGCAATGTGCAGATGAGGGTATCGCTACTAGTAAAACGGCTGTTTGTTTAGCAGCGACGCTGACATGGCGCTATCAAGCAAGAAACGTGCGGCTAATTAAAACGTTGTTTCAAGGTGGCCGGACCCCGTCAGCGCGATATGAGGCTCCTGGCTCCCTGCACCCAACAGCGTGTGACGCACTCCGGTGGATCTTCCGCGCCACCAGGAACCACGTCGGCCACGACGCGACGCCCAGAGATACCGCCGGCAGTAGCAACCCTCGGTCGAGAGTGAACACGATCGCTCAGGGCCAGTGACAGAGTCGCCACGCTGTAGGAGAAATTGCAAGAGAAGGCACGACCCCGCTAGGACATCCCACTGGGCAGCTGCAGCCCGGGAGCACGCACTACACCACCACCGCCGTGACATGCGCCCAACCGCGGCCGCACTCCTCCACCCACGCCATTGAATCCTCCCACGCACTCCACCATGGACGGCACCCGGGGGAGCAATCGCCGCATCAACAGCCTCCAGGCCCAGGACCGCCTGCGACGACGCAGTTCAGCCAACGCCCAGGGGAAGCGCCCCGTCACGGCCCAAGATGCCTATCTCTATGCCCTCCGCGCGGCGTACCTCGCATACCTCCTCCAGCCCCGGCAGAAGCGGGTGCAACATGTCCCCGCCGCGCCCAAACATGTCCAGCGATCGTCGACCTCGATAAACGACCTCATGAAGGACTTCTCCCTCATACGAGACTCCAAGAGCACGCGCTTCCCCCGCGACTTCATGGCTGCACTGGACAAACGGATCACAAAGGTGTTGATGGGACAGGAGCGCATGCCTGAGTTCCAGGATGCCACGGTCAAGCGAACGTTCGCCGTCTTCCTGAATGCATTCAAGGACCCGTCGTTCAGGAAGAACATGGACAAAGATAGGAGAGTCGAGGACCTTCTCCTGATTTTCTACTCCAACGCCACAAAGGAACTGCAAAAGGGGAAGGCGCCCGGAGATGACAGCTGGAAGCTCATGGTAGACCGGCACGTCGCTCTCTTCCTGCGTCTTGTCAGCTCTTGCCTCAAAGACCACGACTGGCAAAAGGATAGACCCGAACTTGCGCATCGGTTGGCCACGATGGAGAAGAAGTTACTCGTACACGACCAAGATTTGGCGGCGGAGAACCAGCGCAATGGCGGTCAGGGTGGCACAACAGTCGAAGTCGAGGTTCCGCGAAGTTATGAAGTCAAGGACATGCCCCTCGTCTTGGTAGTGTCACGCATCTTCGCTGTAGGGTACTCCGATGTACAAGCCGATATCAACCGATACAAGTCCGTTTGGACGGAGAAGGCTGCGCTGCAGGATCTCAAGACATATCAGGCGCACCTCAGTCTCATGACCAAGAAGACGCTGAACAGTGACGACTTCGATACCGAGGAGGCGTACGAGGCATGGAAGAACCAAGAGGTGCCAGACCTCTCGCAGATGATACTGGCAATCATCCAGTCCAACCCCGAGCTCGCAAAGAGTTCACCCGGATCTGTGCCACACTTCAAGCCCAATGCTTCTTTGGACCCCGGCTACTCGGACGGTTCGAGGCAGGGTTCTATGTCGTCTGAGAACGGCTCCTCATATGTCATTGACCAGTCTGTGGATATGAATGGGCTCAGCCTCAACGACGACCCAAATGATAGCTCATCCTATACCTTCATACCTTCAGATCCACGTGCCACTTATCGTGCGATACTGAATGAAGCACTGACGTATGACCTGGCGGACAACGATCTCGAACCGTCCGAAGCTACCAACGAGAATCCGTCTGTGAAGCTACTGTCGAAACAATCGGCTGAGCTTTTGAATGAGATAGCCCTCCGATGGAGGATACCACAATTTTCCCGTCTCGTCTTGTTCCTAGACGTCATACGCGACAAGTACATTAACCAAGACATCAGTCTGGATACCCTCGATGCTGCCTTCAACTATGTCAAGGAACCACCGCCAGCTGACAAGAAGTCCAATCGGATGAGCCATATTCCAGTACAAGTATCGTTGTTTGACCGAACGAAATGGACAATCCAGGACTACACTCTCAACCAACAGATTCTGTCAACGTTGCACGACTGCCTGTTAAGAGAGTTGTACGAGCTGATGATGCATGTATACGACACCAAACCGCCCGCACTTGGACCGGTAATGTACATCCTTGAGACCCACATCTACGACGACCCAACTTTCCCCGGCACCGAAGAAGATATGGATCAGTTCACTGAACAATTACGTCACGGACTGAGGGACAAGGCTGGTGACGTGTATCGAGAGCTTCTAGCGAAGCACATCCCGGACACCAAAGAAGAGTGGGAGTTCTACCATGTCATTGAGTTGGGTCGTGCTGTGGTCAAGCTATGCGAGCGGATACAGAAGCGCTACCGCAAAAACCCAGAGGTTATGGGTGCTAGTCCCATGAATTGCCTCGTTGAGAAGATGTTTCCCTCTTACGCCGCAGATGCGCGGGACCTTGTCGCTCGGATCATGGACGTTGCTCAAAGCAAAGGAGAGGATGTACCCGTACAGGATGGCTTCGACTTGTACAAAGAGCTTGTTGAGATACGCCGCATACACAGCGATGCTCTACCAGGCAAAAACTTTGCTTTTAGCATCGAAGATCAGCTACAGGACTTTGTGTGGAGATGGATTCAGATGACGGATCAAAACCTTATTGGGTGGGTTGACAACGCTTTCAAGGCAGACCAATTCCAGATCGAGTCGCAGAACCCCATTCCTTCAGACGAGGAGCGCCACAGTGTCTCGGTCGTGGATGTCTTCCGGTCCTTCAATCAGAGTATCGAGCAGATTGTCTCACTAAACTGGGATAACGATGTCCAATACGCCAAATTCATGACTGCTGTGTCGAAATCGATCGGTGTCGCACTTGCAAGATACTGCGAACTTGTTGAGCAGAAGTTCGCCAAGGAGATGGATCGCTTGACTCCTGAGCAGGAGGCCGCCGCTCATCAGACCAAATCAGAGAAGTGGTTGTCGACGGTCAAGGACTTCTACAGCCAGAAAGAGAAGGTCGAGCCCTTTCAATTCTACCCAGAGGTAAGTATTCGACTCAATGACATGTCCAATGCTTACGAATACAGTCGCTCGTCAAACTCAACAACATTGAGTATGCAATGCAGCAACTAGATAAGCTCGAGCGCGAGATTGGCGTCGATGCGTGCGCCGAAGTCATCCAAAAGCATTCCCCACCCCCGACGCAACGCCTTCGAAACAACAACTTCGTCTTCACCATCAAAATCATCGAGGCTGAAGACCTGAAAGCTTGCGACATGAATGGTCTAAGTGACCCATACGTCGTGCTTGGTGATGAGTATCAAAAGCGTCTGGCAAAGACTCGGGTCATCTACCGCAACCTCAATCCTCGTTGGGACGAGACAATTGACATCACGACTAATGGCCCGCTGAACGTCGTTGCAACAATCTGGGACTGGGACGCTATGGGCGACCATGACTGCGTCGGCCGGACGTCTCTCAAGCTCGATCCATCACACTTCCGGGACTATATGCCCCGAGAATACTGGCTTGACTTGGATACGCAGGGTCGTCTGTTGCTGCGTGTGAGCATGGAAGGCGAGCGAGACGATATCCAGTTCTACTTCGGCAAGTCATTCAGAACACTTAAGAGGACTGAGCGTGACATGACACGGAAGATCACGGACAAGGTAGGCAAATTGCCATTACAATGCACAATTTGCGCTAACAATGGCAGCTTTCATCGTTCATCGGCTACAAGCTTTCGCGTCGCTCACTTGATGCCTTGCTCAATAAGGGCGTAGCATCGAAGGTCACCAACTACTTGGGAAACTTCCGACAAGCCAGGCCCATGTCTGTCATTCAAGGCCCTACACAGCAGGATGTCACACAAGCTCTGGGTCCTCTGTTCGTTTACTTTGACGAAAACTTCGCGATCATGAAACAGACGCTGACAGACGCTGCAATGATCATGGTTATGACAAGACTCTGGAAGGAGGCACTCGCGACCATAGAGTCGCTACTCGTACCTCCGCTATCCGACAAGCTCTCACAACAGCGCCCGCTGACACAACAAGAGCTTGACATTGTGTTCAAGTGGCTGAAGATGCTTTTCGACTTCTTCCACGCTGTAGATGAGGATGGGAATGTTGAGGGTGTACCCATGGACGTGCTCAAGTCACCCAAGTACCATGAGCTTCAGAACCTCAACTTCTTCTACTTCGAAGCTACCGAAGATTTGATCCGTACGTCTGAGTCAATGGCTGCGGCTAGCGCAAGACGACAGCAAGAACAATCCCAACGCCTAAACCGCATGTCGGCGCCGCCTGCTATGGGCCATCAGTTTGGTGGTGCCGCCGGACTTGTCGGTATGCCGACTAGGAAACACAAGACCATCATGTTGTCACGCAATCTAGGCACAATGAAGAAAGCCAAGGAAGAAAAGAGAAAGGAAGCACAGGCGGAGCCTAATGATGACATGATCTTGAGGATACTGAGAATGAGGCCCGAGGCAGAGCGTTACCTAAAGGACAGGAGCAGA